CCGTCTTCTTGGCACGATGCTCTGAAGAATGAGTTGGGGCTTTGATTAAACGTGTGTGTGCACACGCATTCACATATACACATATTTCATTACCCTGTGACAGAATAAGAACTAGTGAAAACCTAAGTGTGATGGTGGTAGGCCGAGTATGATGTCTACCCTCCCTATTGTCATGTATGTGGTTCCTTGGAAAATATGACAGTCTCTGTCCTTTCTTTAAGTTCAGAGATTTAATTCAATTCAGCAAAAATTTATTAAGCACCCACCTCGTGCCAAACACTGGGGTACAAAGACAGAGGTGCAAACGATCCCTGGGCTCAAGAGCCATCATCCTGAAGGGAAGTAAGAGAGGAAGTATGGAACAACATGCATACACATATGCAAAGACAAAAAAGTAAATACAGCAAAGATCAGGAAAAGCTTCTTGTAGGTGGTGATGTTTGAACTCTCTTGAATGGAGCTAGAGATTTCAAGAGGCAAAAGAGATGAGGAAGTAGAGCATTGCAGGCAGCCATTGCAAAGAAAGGCATAAGGTAGAGGGTGGAATAAATAGTACAAGGAACATCAAGTAGGGTGATACGGTTGGAACATTGGGTGTAATGTGCAATTGTTTGGAAGGAGTGTATATTGATTGTGAAGAGCTCTATATACCAAATAGAGGGGTTTATATTTTATTCTTATTTTAAAATAATATTTTATTTTCCCCCAGTTACAAGTAAAGACAATTTTTAACATTCATTTTCTTTTTTTTTAGGTTTGCAAAACACTTTAATTTTTTTTTTTGTAAATAATATTTTTTTTTCTTTTCAAATTACATGTGAAGATAGTTTTCAGTATTCTATTTTTGTTGTTGTTTTTTAGGCAATTGGGGTTAAGTGACTTGCGCAGGGTCACACAGCTTGCGTCAAGTGTCTGGTCTGAAGTAAGATTTGAACTCAGGTCCTCTTGCCTCCAGGGCGGGTGCTCTATCTACTTGCCCCCCAGCATTCTTTTTTTTTTTCTTTTTGGTGAGGCAATGGGCTTAAGCTTTTTGCCCAGGGTCACACAATTTGTAAGTGTCAAGTGTCTGAGGTTGGATTTGAACTCAGGTCCTCCTGACTCCAAGGCCAGAGCTTATTCTACTGTGCCATCTAGCTGCCCCTAGTATTCTTTTTTTTTTCCTAGTCAAAAAAAGGTTTATTAAAGATCCTCCATATTACCAGGTCTCTTGAGAAATCTAGGAGTCTGCAAGTATTGGCTAGATTCTAAGAATCTGAGTAAGAATCTAAGCCTTTCTTTCATTTTTTTAATAAGATTTTGAGTTCCAAATTTTTCTTCCTCCCCCTTCCCCAAGACAAGCAATCTGATAATAGGTTATACATGTGCAATCATGTTTAACATTCTGGAGGTTTAAAAATTGGGGGGTTTCAAATTTTCTTTTTCCCTTACCTCCCCCCTCCCTGAGACAGTAAGCAATGTGGTATAGGATATACGTGTTCAATTACACAAAACATTATCATATTAGTCATGTTGTGAAAGAAGACACAGATCTGCATTTTATTCTAAAGCATAGCAGGGAGGCACTGAAGCATCATGAGCAGGAGTGACAGTCAGAACTGTATTTCAGCTCGACAGCCCTTTGGATGATGATTGGAAAGGAGAAAGACGTTAGAAATAAGGAGCCCAATTAGCTTAGAAGTGATGAGAACTGAGGCCTGCACTAGGATGTTGGTGATCTGAGCAGAGAGATTGCGATGGATGTGAGATGTTGTGGAGGTAAACTCGGGATCTATATAAATTTGAGAGTCATTTATAGACTTCACATTGAGTTCATGGTTGCTGATGACATGAACGAAAAAAGAGAAGAGAAGAAAGAAGGGTCTAAGGACAAAGAACTGGGGTCGATTTACTGATGGGGGACATGAAATACTTGCTAAAACAAAAGAGGCTGAGAAGCAGTCATACAGATAGGAGGAGAACCAGGAGAGAGCAGCAGAGAGTGTTCAGGAAAATATATGATGATTAGTGTTAAATAATAAAGAGGAGATAAGAAAGATGGGGACTAAGAAAAGGGGCCTGGATTTAGCAATAAAAAAATCATTGTTAACCTTGGAGATTATAGTTCTCAATTCTAATGTAATATGTATTATATATTACATAGTAGGCTTAATGTGACACTAGCTGTTTTCTTTAGAAAATGTAATATATAAAATATAAAAGGGTCCTTTAAATTTGAATATCATACTTGAATTGGTTTTGGTAGGCTGTAAAATTAGTGAAGTTATTTATTCCATTCTTTCTGATGTTCGTGTTTAGTAGACAGAGCAGCAGGTCAGCTGTAATGAGTGGGAGAGTTCATAGTAGTGATTTTTTTTTCTTCTGAGAATTTTCTTGAAAATGATGATTTTGAATGTTTTTTTCATTTCTGAAATAATATGCCAACATTGTACATCTTGTAGTACAGCCAGCCAAAAGATCAATATTAGATTGATGTGGGTATGTATTAGAGAATAGCCTTCTGGCCTGTCTCCAATTTCAGCTCTACCTGCTTGAAAAAATTCACATATTGCCTAAGCTTATTGTGCATGTTCTGAGGAGTTACTACTCTCTCCATTTACCAACAATGTCATAATTGCCAAATCAAGGAACCTTTTCTCAATCTTTATCCTTCTTGACCTTTCTGCAGCCTTTGACACTGTGGATCACCCTCTTCTCCTTGATCCTCTCTTCTCTCTAGGTTTTTGTGAGATTGCTGTCTCTTGGATTTCATACTTTTCTGAGAAGTATTGCTGCTTACTGGATCTTCATCCAGGTCATGCCTCTTCACTATGGATTCTGTCCTGGGCTCTGCTCTGCTCTTCTCTTCTCCTTTGTGATACCATTAGCTCTCATGGTTCAGACTATCATCTCTATGCTTATAATTCTCAGATTTATTTGTCCAGCCCTAACTTCTCTGCTGACTTCCAGTCTTGTATTTCCAACTGCCTGGTGAACATTTTGAACTGAGTTATAAAACTCTACATGTCCAAAATAGAGCTCCTTATCTTCACACTCCCTTCATCCCCAAGTTCCCAAACCCTGCCCTCTTCCTAACTTCCCTATTTCTCCTCCCAGTCAGCCAGGCTTACAACCTAGGTGTGATTCTCCGTTCTTCAGTCTCACTCTCCTCCCTCATCCGGTTAGTTTCCAACTCCTGTCGATTCTACCTTTGAAATGTTTCTCATATGTATCCCCTTCTCTCCTCTGATTCTGTCACCACCCAGGTTGAGGTCCTCATCACCTCACAACTGGATTTTTGCAGTAGCCTGTTGATTGGTCTCCCTGCCTCAAGTCTCTTCTCACTCCAGTCAGTGTTTTACCCAGCTGTCAAATTGATCTTCCTAAAACATAAGTTTAACTATGTCACAATTCTGCTCTCATTCAGGTCAACTCCAGTGGCTCCCTATTGTCTTCAGGATCGAATATAAAATCTTCTGATTGGCCCACCGTAATGTGGCCCCTTCCAACCTTTCTAGTCTTCTTACTTCTCACACCCCCACGACCCTCACATACTCTTTGGGACACTGGCCTACTTGCTGCTTTTCCTTGAATTAGACACTCTATTTCTGTCTCCAGACATTTTGACTGGTTGACTCCCATATCTAGAGTTCTCCCTCATCTCTTAACTTCCTTGGTTTCCTTCAAGTTTCAGCAAAAGCCCCATCTTCTGCAATAAACTTTTCCAGATCCCCCTTAATCTTGTGCTTTTCTGTCTATTGATTATCTCCAATTTATCTTGTGTGTACATAGTTTGCATATTTTCTCTCCCATTAGAATGAGCAGGGCTAATTTTTCCCTTTTTTGTATCCCCAGAGCTTAGCACAGTGCCTGGCGTACAGTAGGTGTTTAGTAAATGCTTGTTACAACATCTCGCCCAATAGTTGCCTCAGTTACCTGTTAAATAATATTCAGTTAAAATATATATACTTCTGCCATTTTTTACTAAGGCAAGCATAATCCAAATTCTCAAAGAACTTAACTTTATTGAACAATATTACCATGAACAGGTATACAAATGTAACAATTCCACTAACACTTTATAAAATATGTAATGGGAGAAAATGGAAAGTTTCAACTTCAGAAGATCAGTAGTGTTTATTGGTAGGATTATTAACTGCCACTGGCATGGATCATGACCTCATTCCACCTTAGTAGAGGATGTTCATTAGTTAACTTGATTTTAAAAATTTCTTCATTTTATAGCCATCATTTTGGGAATGATCTTCTGCAAATTAAGCTAGCCTTTCCCTCAAACATACAGACTATTATTGGGTTCATATAAAGCCTTTCCACTTAGACCTACCGGGAATTTATGGTCAGTTGATTTACCCATTAGGCAATTTGGGGTCACCTTGAGGCCATGATGGATCATCTAGGCAGGACTTTAATGTGGAAGAGTGAGAGCTGTAAATATTTATTTAAAAGAACTGAATGAGAGTAAGGATGGCTTTTTATTATTTATTTATTTTTTAGATCTCTGGCTTTTTATTTCTTTTGCTGTGCAAAATATGAGAAAAGCTTGGCAAATTGTCATGGATGTGGCACAACCATTGAATTGGGAGGAATTGGTCAAGAATGACATCTCAACCTATCCTCTGCTTAAAAACTTTGTATTTTTCATGTCATTTATTAGCACTAATCTTAGGAAAGCGCAGCATTGTTAGGTCTGTTTTCAGTTCAAACCTGGTTCCCTGTTCCCAGTAAAATTCTAAAATAGTTTTAATTTTTGTCATTATGGTAATAAAAATAACCCCCAAACAAAGCTGCTGTATTTGGATACCAGCATTATATAAATCTACTTAAAATAAGAAAAAGTTCTGTTTCTACTAAAAAGTACATGTTTTTAGATGGTTTGGTTTTAGTGAGAAGGGGAGATTATGAGTGATAAGTAGATACCAAAGATAATATTTTGTTTTATTAAAGCTAAATTAATTTTTAAAAAATCAGCTGTCTTCACTGTTTCCAAAATTGTATTGTTTCAGGCACGTGTGGTTCTCAAATATAGGCACTCAGATGGGAATCTGTGTATCAAAGTAACAGATGATTTAGTTGTAAGTATAAATTTTTATTCATTGTGCAAGTTTGAGTTTCCTGGGTTAACCATTTGTTAAGAATTAATCATAGGCTTTATGCAAATTACTCTGTAAAGATGTTTGTTTTTGTTCTCTCTTCCAAATTCAGGAACGTTGTTTCGGAAATTTTTTTGTGGGGTGTTTTTGGAAGAGTAATTCAACTTGCTTCTTTAATATAGCATGCCAAGTTCATGCTAGTGATTGTTCTCTTTTGACCATCTTCATGTAAGGGAAATGTAGAAGCCGGATCTCAAAATACACTAGAATAAATAGAACAGAATCTGTGGCAGCACCGTAATTAGAACATATAACAGGGATTAGATTATTTAATTAGGAAGCAAATACCAGCTTTTTATCTCTACTTACTTAGAATTCTCTAACCTCTATGATAGAGATTCTTAACCTGAAGTCCCATAGTCCTTTTAGTTGGATTTCAGGTGGTCTATGGATTTGGATGGGGAAAAAAATTACATCTTTAACCTCCAACTGAAATTTAGCATTTCCTTCAACTGTTAATGTAGGCAACAAAATATTCCAAGATGATGTCCATAGATTTCATTAGACTACCAAAATGAAGAGTCCATGGTCCAAAAAAGGTTTAAAACCTCTGCTCAGGGACTAACTTAACCCCTAGAAGTTTTAGATTATTGTTTGTGTTATCTTTGGTTGTGTGTTACCATACACTTTGTGTTTATAATGCTTTGTCAGTGATGCCCAAAGTCTTATATTTTTAATGATTATACCAGCTCTTTGGAGAACAGGCTGTTTGGGATGGAGGATTTACTTCCTTAAAGCAAGAAATGGAGTCTATTAGAACCTTGAATATTAATATAAAGAAAATCTTGATGGTTACTTGTGATTAATTTGTTATAGAACAAAGACCTACATCTTTTAAAGAGGAAGCATAGAATTTTCGATAAGTCCTTGGACTTGGATAAGTCCTCTTTTAATCTTTTTACTGATAAGAAAGTGAAAGGTTATGTTTAGCCCAAGGATACATAGGTAGTAGACTGAAAAATATGTTCTATAATAAGCATTAGAACATGGACATAGAAAGAAATAATTAATATAGACAGTTTAAACTTTAAAGACAGTACCTTTTCCCCTTGATAATGATAATGTATATCTCAGTAATCTAGAGGGCTACTGTAGATATAAGCATTGTATATACAAAAGATTTTTATTTAAAATGTGTTGTTTCATGTGGTAAGACATGCTTTAGTAGGATGAGTTTTTCCTATTTCATGTTTTCAATGGACCTTAAAAACTATTCACAGAGGAATGTATTGCAAATTGGGGCAGCTAGTTGTTATAGTAGATAGAGTGCCTGACTTGGAGTCAGGAAGATCTAAGTTCATATTCAGTTTCAGATAAAGTTATTAGCTGTGTAACCCTAATAAAGTCACTTAATCTCTTTCTGCCTCAGTTTCTTCATTTGTAGAAAGAGGATAATAACTATACCTACCTTACAGGATTATTGTGGGAATTAAATGAGATAATATTTGTAAACACTTTGTAAATCTGAAAGTGCTATGTAAATGCTATTTTGGTTTTGTTTATTTAAAAGAACAGAAAATATAATCTAATCTGTCTCCCTAAAAGGACCCTGGCAGTGAAAAATCTATACATAATAATTTATTACGTTGTCTAGTGGCCCTTACTGTTATACGATTCTCACTTATAAATCTACTAATAACTACATCCAACTTAAACCTGTTTCCTTTTGTTTTGGATTTAGTGGCTAACAGATAGTTCCTTGTGTGGTGTTTTGTATGTGATGGCTGTTATTGAAGCCTTTCATTTCCAGATTGAATAATTTGTTTAAGTTCTACATGTTCTCCTCTTACTTAGGGAACCCAGAATGAAGCATAATAGTCATCACTTGATTAGAAATGAGAATGTACCTTTTTGGTTTCTACATTCCAAACTCTCATTTATGCATTCTAGTGTCTTGCTTTTGTGGCTAACTCATGTGGTCCCACGATCTTTTTCTGTCATAATCCTATGTGTGTGTGTGTGTGCGCGTGCGTGTGTGCATGTGCACGTGCTCACTTCCGCATGTGCATGCATGTGCAGTCTGTATGTATGCAATACAGAAAATTGAATATAGAAATATATTCAATATAGAAAACTCTTGGTCAGCAAGAGTTGATGGCAATTACAAGATGCTTTAAAAATTGCTTAATATTGCACAATCCTAAGTCATTGTTTTTAATTTCCTTCTGCGATAAAATGTTGGGTTATGAAGACAAGAGGCAAGCAATAATATGTAACTTACTGAATTTGGACCTCATTAGAGTGTTTGATAGTACCTCAATGACATTCTCAAAAAGTGAAGAAGATAGAATTGTGAAACTTCCTGCCAGGCATGTGGACAACCAGATAGAATGACACCATTTGGTGATCAATAGGTAGAGTAGTATATGGCCTATCAAGTGGTGGGCCAGAGGGTTAGTCCTAGAGTCTCTTACTTAATACTTGTATAAGAGACCTAAATGAAGGAAACAAAAATATGCGTATTGTTTAGATATAGCACTTAATGGAATTGCTTTGCACTTTGGAATAAAGAAATTAAATTCAGCATTTTGATTAATTGACAAGAATGGTTCTCTGGGAACAGGATGAAACTCGATAGGAACAGAATCAAAATAGACAGGAGAGATTGGTTAGAAAAAATATGGCAAGAAGACTTAGAAGATACATTATAACAAAAGTTGAATGAGTTAGTAATGTTTCTTGAAAATAATCTTGGTATAGTCAGCATTGTCTGAACCACAGCTTTTTAAAAACTATTTTGGTAACTGTTTTTCAATATAATTGACTTTATAATTCTGTATATTTTATTTTATGCATTTAAAAAATGCCAAGAAGGGGGAATCCATAGGTTTCACTAGTCTGCCAAAGGGATAACACAAAAAAGATCAAGGGCTGATGAGAACCCTTCTTATTGTATTGGGTCCGTTAAGAAGTGTCAGACCTTTTTTCTGTCGAACCACTTATTCAGCGGTAGAAGATTGGAGGGTTGGGATGTTCAGAAGAATATAGAATTGAGGGCTGGAAAAAATCTTAAAGATCATCTAGTCCAACCTACTCAATTTACAGATAAGAAGCTATTCAGCAGTAGATCTGGGATTTGAAACATTCTGGTTAGAAATCTTTTGAAAATCTATCACAGGCTTCTCTTACTTCTTAAAATATACTGAATATAATACAACAACATCAAGGGATGACTAAGAATCATTATTATAATCATCTTGTTAGATCACGCTGTAACATAGTAATGCCCACAGTCATTATTAATGAGAGTTGTGCTATTTGCCCCTATACTCAAAGTGTTCTGTATGGTAGAAGTTGTTGGATGAATAACCTCAAATTAGTGAATTGGTTTTGAGCTAAAATTTTATATTATGGCCATTTTGAGAAAGGATATGGAAGGAGTGAATACAGTATCTAGGACTTTTACATTCATAGAGTAATGGTGCCATCTTGTAATTTTTTTAGATTAAATTTTTGATTAATTTATTTATTTTTGATTTTCAACATTCACCTCCACAAGATTTTGAGTTCCATATTTTCTCCCCACCTCATCCCTCCCCCCACCCCAAGATGGTATGCATTCTGAATACCCCTTTCCCCAATCTCCCCCCCCTTCTAAACCCCACCCATCCCCTTCCCCTTCTCTTTTCCTGTAGGACAGGATAGATTTCTATACCCCATTGCCTGTATATCTTATTTCCCAGTTGCATGTGAAAACAATTTTTAACATTTGTTTTTAAAACTTTGGGTTCCAAATTTTTCTCCCTTCCTCCCTCCCCACCCACATTCATTGAGAAGGCAAGCAACTCAATACAGGTTACACATGTGTAGTCATACAAAACACTTCTATAGTAGTCAAGTTGTGGAAAACTAACTGTATTTCCCTTCATTCTATCCTGCCCCCTGTTTATTCTATTCTCTTTTGATCCTGTCCCTTCTCAGAAGTGTTTGCTTTTGATTACCCTATCCCCCCAGTCTGCCGTCCCCTTTATCATCTCCCCCACTCTTTTATCCCCTTCCCCCCTATTTTCCTCTAGGGTAAGATAGATTTCCATACCCAATTGAGTGTGTATGGTATCATCTTGTAATTTTTAAAGCATATTTCCAAAGATTAAAAATTTTTTTTTGTAATTTAAGACATTCGTGGAACTAACACTTTGTGGGTCAGGTGAAATTAGGTTAGGGTTCCCCATTCCTATCATGGTTTTACTCTTTACTTTTACAAAAGGAAAGGAGGTCATTCAGAATTACTGAGGGTCAGAAAATAGTTTTCTGAGCAAAAGGTAAAGGTGAATCTTTTATTTTGGACAAGGGAAAAAACCTAAGAAATGTTTTGATAATCTTAATACAATACGGGATGGACTTTCTTATAACAGTAACTAGTTCTTTATCCATAATGAAAAAAACAAAGAAATGAACTTATTAAAGTAAGGGAAAACTAGGACTCTTTGTCAAGAAAATAAATACTGGGTGCAGGCTCCTGAGGAAGCTTATGGAATTTCTAATGGTAAAAAAGTAGGATAGGCAACTTATATGTCTTAATTCAGGCCTTAGGTTGACCTCAGGCCTAGGGCTTTGAACCCAATACCTTCTAGTTATTTTGTCCTATTCTTAATTTCTTAGAGAAGAAAAGTGGGTCACAAAATTTACCTGATTTCTCCCATGGTAACATTAACTGACTCATTAATGGATTTGGCAAGAAAGACTGGGTATTGATCTTTTTCCATTGGATACAGCAAAATCTATATATAAATATTTTTTAAACTGGACAGCATTGAGGGAGGGATATTCTCAAGTTTTAGGATATGATTGATCTTTTTTGCTATAATGGCATTGAGAATTTTATAAGATGATCAAGATTTAAAGAAAAGGAATTGAGAGCTTGAATTATAATTTGGGGGAGCTTAAGTACACCTCTTAATATTGCCTCAGTAGGAGTAGCAATACTGTAAGTGGCAGAATCTCATGTAGTGTCAGTACCATACATTTTCAAGGGGAAATTGTAAGTACATAATATTAAAGGATAAGAAATCACATTCCAAATTGATGTTTTGTTAATCTCTACTTTTTGTTTTGTTTTGCAGTGTCTGGTATACAGGACAGATCAGGCCCAAGATGTAAAAAAGATTGAAAAATTCCATAGTCAGCTAATGCGACTTATGGTAGCTAAGGAATCCCGAAGTGCTGCCATGGAAACGGATTGAATGGTTTGAAGTGAAAGCTGTGGTGGTCACGTTTTTAAGGAAGAAAATATCACTTGAATTCAAGAAAATGTTGGGACAGAAGAGGCTTTATATAACTCAGTGGGCCCTTAAAAAGCCTGAGAGCATTTTTTTCCTGTGTAGCTTAAAAAAAATTCTAACTTCAGATAGCTATAAATATATATGCTTTCAGTTGAAAGCTTCTATTTATTTTTGAAATTTAAAACAAGCTGAAAAGTTTTTACAGGTTATTTGATGTTGGGCAAAATTTGTAAATATGATCTCTTGTAAATTTGTAACACTAATTTGAAGAGGAGAGATTGGCCACCTTTATTCTGTGAAATGTATCTGGCCTTTAAAGAAAACTAAATATTGTTTGTTTAGTTTGTTTTTCATCTTTAACTTAGAGTTTAAGGTCTTTTTTTATTGAATATATTTCTCTACAGGTTTAATTTTGTCTGACAAAACACATTTCTGACCAATAAACATAAGATATACTAACAGAAATTAATTTTGTGCCATAATGAAGGTAATTATTTGTAGAAATGTTACATATCTTCTTTGAAGCCATACCTAAAATATAGGTGTGCTTTCCAGATTGACTGTTTTTAACCCTAAAAGAATCCATTATCTCATTGAACTTATAATTCGAGATAAGAACATAACTTTTTTTTTTTTTTTTTTGCTAGGAAGTGGGGTCACACAGCTAGTGTCATGTGTCTGAGGTCGGATTTGAACTCAGGTCCTCCTGAATCCAGGGCCGGTACTCTATCCACTGTGCCACCTAGCTGCCCCCCCGAACATAACTTTTGAATCCAGTTGTCTGTGATCAGAAACTTTTTTTTGTAAATGAATATGAGTGATCAGTATCCACCAAAGGACTGAAAATTGTTATTACAGAAGCCTCTGTTGTACTTAGTCCACTTGTAGAAAGTTTCTCAGAGGGCTAAAGATGAATTGAACAATATGTCTGGGCATAACCTATTTGTACTCTTTTTTTCTGGTTTTGTTAACTTCTTAGAAGTAACAGAGGTGCTAAAAGTGATGTCATAGCTGGTGTAATTAGTTATCTGTTGTGATGGCTAATGAACTACAAGTAAATCACTAAGGATTGATAATTTTTGTGTTTGTAATCTCTATTGTTGCCACCTGTCCAGGGTCACCCAGCCAAGTCTGTGTCAGAAGCAGGATTTGAAACCAGTGTTCCTGACTCCCAGGCCATCTCCTACTTTATACACCATTTAAAGTCTTGGTGCCCTCTGATATCTCTCTGAGACTCTGTTACAGAGTAGGTGCCGATGTGTATTGAGGGAACTCCCTGTACCATTAAATTCACAGGTGTATTCTGTCCTCCTCCCCCAAAAAAAAAAAAATTAAAAAGCCCCTAACCCTCAGTTTTCAAATAATTGCCCAGCATCAGAATGAAGGTTCAGCTTTAAAGATGTCACATTAAAATATTTTTGTTAGACGTTTAACTTGGCTGTTGTTTCAGCATTGTAAAGTGCTATTAGCCATTTGAGTTTTGGCATGTTTCAAAGCAGTCTGCAAAAATAAAAAATTAAGAAAAAAACGATGTAAAAATCTTAATGTTTCTGTTAAAAAATTTTTTTTTATTTTTCAGGAATTACAAATTTTTAAAAATCAATTAAAAGTTGATTTTACCTATAGGATAAGTAATGCCACTGGAACAGTACTTATGTATGTATTTTTATATCCTTGTCCTCATCCCCCAGTACTCAATATTACATGTTGGGTTTTTTCCCTCCATGTTAGAGGCAAGATTATTTTCTTGCATTAAAATAACACAGAATAATACTTTTTACTAGGATTAAAATTAATATAAAACTATCAGATTCACTCTTGATGCTATTTGGGTCCTATTTAGTTTTGTTTTTAAACTCCATTCTTACAATTTAGCAAATGTTACGTGAAAGAAATTGGTCCATTGGACTGTTTGGCTCTTTTTTACTCCAAGCAGCCCAAGGTGGTAATAGACACATACTTAAGTAGAAGACACTGGCTATTTTCTACATGATAGCACATTAAATTTAAGAAAAAAATTTAAAGGAATTAGTGTGTTAATCTATACCCTATCTTCCCTTTTCCCCTAAAATTAGATGTAGTATTTCATTCACCTGTCAGATTCTTGGATTAACAGGATTAGAATTAAGTTTCTGTTATTTTAAATATAGTTTTCCTTCTTCATTGTAGTTGTGCAGTACTGAAAAAAGGCAAATATTAGTTCACAGCAAGATTAGTTTTAATCTTGAAGATTAGAAAAGATATTATGAAAATGTTTTTAATCTGTTCTGAATAGCACAATACCCTTCACCTGAGCATTTTCTTCTTTATTGGAAAGGTTTTTGTTTTTTTAAATGCTTTGTTTTTTCCTCATTGAAACCATGTCTATACCCACAGAACTATCTCAGGTATATTAGGCAGAGTATTGTAGGCAGCCTTTTTGAAAAGGTCTTGTAGTACCTGTATAAATAAATACATGGGAGAATCAAGTAATTTCATTTTTATTTCCATTTTTCTTCCAATTTTTTTCTTACGCTCCTTGGAACAATATTCATGAATGTAAATGGCATTTCCCTCCTCTACCCCCCACCCACCTATCCTGCCAATTTTTTGTCTTAAGTGCATTAGTCACAGCTCATGTTTTTCTTAGTCATTCATTAGAGGCAATGTTGGCAATGTTTTATAGCTGATAAGACCTTCTATTACCCTTTTAAGAAAACCTAGCACTTAACAGCAATCTTTAATTATATTAAACTTAACACTATCCTGAAACTAATTGAAAGTAAATGAAATTTAACAGAGAGAAACTAATTGCACAAGAACAGTAGTAGGAGGGGCTCCCCTTTCTCTACTCATCAAAATGAGGGAAGAAAATAGAGTCCTATAAAATTGTCTGGTGCTCTTCCTGAATGTCTCCTAACCATGACTGATATTTTAAACTTCTTACTTTAAAAAAAAAAAAATCAATTCCTCAAAGCCCACTAGTTGTATTTTATGAAGGGTGAGGAAGAAAGACATGCAGGCCTCAGTCTTGCATTAAAATTACTGGTTGGTAAATGGGGGTCATTGGGAGTTCACATTTTGTGGAACAGAAGCCAAAGAACAGCTTTTTGCCATGCAATTTAATGCTTTGATAAAGCCAACATTGAAACCATTATTTGGTGATATAATTCTTGGTAGAGATTTGTAGTTACCTTTTATCATTTTATGTAATTGATTTAATTGCACACACAGCAGGTCAAGGGTACTAGGCATGTTGGGCTTTAGGATGAACATGAGGATAAACTTTCTGAAAAATAGAAATTCAAAAAAATGTTAAGTTTGGGTCAGCAAATCTGAATTTTGGAACACAGCCAATATCGTTTAATTAGCATAAACATCAATTCAACAAACATTATAGGCAAAGCTATGGTGCTATGGATACAAAAGCAAAAACGGTCTTATACAAAGGGGTTGGTGATGGGATACTGCTGGGGGCAGGTATATCATGTACATAATCATAATTCAGGGTAATTTGAAGAGGGAAAGCACTTACTGAGGTGGCGGAGTGGGGATCAAGGAGATGGTACTTGATCTGAGCCTTGAAGGCACAGACCTTGAGAATAAGCATTGCAGGCATAGAATAGTGTGTACATAGATTGACAAACATTTGTTAAGTGTCTGCTATGTATCAGGCAATGTACTAAGTGCTTGGAAATACAAAGAAAGGCAAAGACAGTCCTTGCTCTCAAGAAGTTGCAAACAACTATGTACAAACAAGATTTGTAAGGATAAATTGGAGATAAACTCAGACTAATATTGAGGATTGGGTAAGGCTTCTTGCAGATGAGGGTTTAGCTGAGACTTGAAAGAAGCCAGGAAGTGGAAATGAGAAAGAAGAGCACTCTGGTATAGGAGAGAGCCAGGGAAAATTCATGGAGTTAGGAGATGGATAGTGAAAGAAACTTCAAGGAGACCATTATTATGTGGACACGAGTGAAGTATAACAAGACTGGAAAGGTAGGAAGGGGCCAGCTTTTGAGGGTCTTAGAAGCCAACAGGTTTTATATATGATTCTGAAGGAACTAATTTATTTGTGGGAGGAAAAGGTGACAGACCTGTGATTTAGTAAGATCAATTTGCCAACTGCATGGGAAAGACTTGAGGCAAAGCTATTATAATAGGTCAGGTGTGAGTTGATAGAGTCCTGCACCAAAGTAGTTAACTGTGTCATGGGAGTCTTATATATGAGAGATGAAGGTATGATTGACAAGACTTGTCAATGTTTGGCCATAAGGAAGTGACACCTGGGCCCACAGAAATAGGTAAGTTAGAAAAAGATTAGGGGTTTGGGAGGAAGGAGAGTTTAGTTTTGGTCATGAATCTAAGTTAGCTTTGTGACATCCAGTTCAAAATGTCTAATAGGCAGTTGGAAATGTGAGACTGGAGGATAGAGCTAGCTAAAATAGGTCTGAGAATCATCTGCATGGTGATGATAGTTGAATCCCACAAGCTGATAAGAACAGGTGAAGTAACAGTTAAGAAGAGGACCCAGAGCAGAGCATTGGGGGATACCCAGAATTAGTCATTGTGGTCTGGATGAATAGCAAAGGAGACTGAACAGTGATTGTACAAGTAGGAGGAAATCAGGAAAAAGCAATGTCATAAAAGCCTAGAGAGAGGAGAGTATTCACAAGTGTTTTTGCTGAGATTAAAAAAGGTTGAGTGAAGAACAGTAGATTTGGCAATTAAGAGATTGTTGGTAACTTTACAAAAGATATTTTCAATTAAATGATGAGGTTGGAAGCCAGACTTTGGGGAGTTAAGAATGTGAAGGGAAAGGAAGTGGAGGCGCTGATTGTAGACATCCTTCTCAAGTAGATTAGCCATGAAAAGAAATATGTTAGGATGATCACCAGTAGAAGTGGATTGACCAAGTGATGTCTTTTTTGAGGATGGGACAGACTCGGACATATTTATAGCAGCAGGTAAGCAGCCAGTAAACAGAAAGAGATGGAAGGTTAAAGGGACATCTGCTGGAGAAGACTGGATAGAATAGGATCAAGGGTACATAAAGAGGTTTGCTTTGGCAAGAAGAGCCACCCCTTCATGTGAGACAAATGAAAAAGGTGACAGTAGAGGGGGGTGGGGTGAGAAACCACATATTGGTCAGAGATACCTTGTTGAGGAATGTAGGTGATAGCAGTAGCCTAGAGTTGAGTATTGGAGAGCTATGAACAGCAGAAAAGTGGAGGGCAGCCTATAGTTGAACTGCTTAACTATATGGTCAAGACTACCAAGGGGACTGTGAGTCTAAAGCAGGAGTGATGGACTAGGGGAACCAGTATGGAGGAACTGGAGATCACAATAAGGGTGAAAATTTGTTAAGGCAGGAGGAGAGATGCAAGATGAGAATTAGAAAGGAATTTTAGAGTCTAAGATGATGAAAATGGAACAGTCTTGGATGACTAAGTCTAAGGCAGGTTGTGGAACTTGAGTTGATGAACAAGTGAGGCCACAGTGTTAAAAGACCACTAATTTAAATATGAAATCCCCAGATTCTGGATTTAGTGGTTCAGGTGGAGAGGAAAACTACTTGACAAATGGAGGGAGACTAATCAGGGCCAGTAGATGATACATATTTGCAGTTGAATCTGATTTTTTTTTTTAACAAAAGAGGACAAATATAGATAGTCCTATATAGATAGACCTTGCATATTCCCA